CGGTTCCTCGTGTCCTGCGTTGTAAATGGCCAAAGTTCTTTGGAACTTTTTTTGTCATTGGTGGAGCTCCGGGTGAGCGGTTTGTGAGGCTGAGTTATGGCCTGCGGGGATGGCGGGAGGTTCCGGCGCTGGGGCCGGCCGGAGGGCGACGGGGAGGGGAGGACAGGGCGTTTTCCCACGAGCTGCCTGCTCGAGATGCCCTCCCCGCTGAGCGCAGGAGGCTCCCAAAGCAGCGGGTTTGTCAGCTGCGGAACCGCAGAGACCCTGCCGTCAGAGCTGGCTGAGGACCTTTCAGATATCCGTGCATCTGGTGACACTCGGTTTGTTTAAGAGATCGCATCGGCAGTCGTAAGGACTTTCTTGAAAATTAGTGACAACCTATTTTCTAAAGCAGAAGGCAGCGTTTAAATCTTGCTGCCTGGTCTCCCTGCCGCCGCACCAGATCCCAGTGTGCTTCACATGGCAGTGCAGGTGTTATTGATGCTCTTTTCAGCAGATATTAAAAGTCGTTTTCTTTAGGAAATGGTGGATCAACACTTCATGCTCTTCAATGCTTGGAAGATCTCTATGGTGATAAGTGGACTTCTTTTATTGTGCTGCTGATTCATTCTGGTAAATTCTCTTTTATGTTTCACACTCTGAAGTCATACCTCCCCTTTTTTTTTTTCCTGAAAATAATGTGATGTCAGAGAAGGAGTCAGAGGTCTGGAAGACAGTTCCCGCAGAAGAGTAATCCAAAGTGTGTCTGGTCTGGTCATTTGAATTTCGATCGATACTTCAGGCACTTCAGCTGTTTGATCAAACAGTGGAGAAAGTAGTGGCATTCAGAGTATCTGAATTCAGATTCCGCCTTGAAACACCCATTTAGGGAGCATGGCCCTCTCTGCAGGGGACCTAGGGCTCCTCGCAACCAGAGGCGGGCTGGGTGCTTGCCTGCTTACCCAGTTGGAACGCTTCCAAAAGGGGCATCCGTCCTGCAGGGGAGAAAGAAGCCGGGCAATAACAAATCACCTGAGCAAACCACTGCTTGTTTGACTGACGTCTGACTTTAAATTCCCGGCAGGGGGGTGGGGGTCCTCCTTTTCCTCAAGCGAAAAGCAGGCGTCGTGTGCTTGCTTCACTGTAGCTATAGACAAGTGGTCCATAACTCCAGCTCTGAAGCAAACTAAAGATAATGAAATCAACCACAGTTTTAATATGAGGTATTTAAGGCCTGCTAAATTTTGGACATAAGGTCAGATCTGCTTTTACAAATGTTTAAAGAAGAATGATTGATGATTTTTTTATACCTCGCATTTTCTGAGGAATACTTAGAATATGTCCAAGCTGGGGGGGGCGGGGGGTGTTACACCTTTGTGTATGTGTAAAATAGGTGCATAGGTTTAGTTTTTGCTCACTTACATACTGTGTCTCTGTATAATTGAAAATGTCTTTTTCTTCAAGGTGGTTACAGTCAACGTTTACCAAATGCAAGTGCCCTGGGAAAGATTTTCACAGCTTTGCCTTTTGGCAATCCCGTTTACCAGATGCTGGAACTGAAGCTCGCCATGTACATTGATTTTCCTAGTCACATGAAACCAGGAATTCTCATTACGTGTTCAGACGACATCGAACTTTACAGCACTGGAGTTGCAGAAGCTGTCACGTTTGATAAACCTGGGTTTACGGCGTTAGCTCACCCTTCAGATTTGACAGTTGGGACCACTCATGGAGTGTTTGTTTTAGATCCGTCCAGTTTTTCAGGAAAAGGAGGACTTGAGTACACGTCTTGCCATCGTTTCCTGCACAAGCCTGATATTGAGACGATGCGGCAGTGTGGCGCGGTGTGCGTTAGGGGGAATTCTCAGCCGAGTTCCTCTGGAGGCCACAGTGACTCAGAGATGGACTTGGAGTGTGTGTATACAGACAGTATATTTTACATGGATCACAGCACTGCAAAACAGTTATTGACATTTTATAAGCAGATGGGCTCTCTTTGCTGTGAAATAGACGCATATGGTGACTTCCTCCAGGCCCTGGGACCCAGAGCCACTCAGGATTACATAAAAAATACAAGTAATGTCACTGAAGAGGAATCACAGTTGGTAGCAGTACGGGAGAAGCTGTACTCTCTTCTGAAGGGAACCGCGCTTAACGTTATAGTCTTAAACAACTCCAAGTTCTACCACATTGGAACTACCCAGGAGTACTTGTTTCACTTCACATCTGATAGCAACCTGAAATTTGAGCTTGACTTACTGTCTGTGGCTTTTAGCATCTTTTCTGACGACGCAGCTGAGACCCTGGGTCAGTCAGCAAGTATCGTTCAAAGCATACTTGAGCCCGGGTGTCTCATAGGACCTGGGTCCGTTATTGAGTACTCTCGGATTGGCCCTGAAGTCTCAGTAGGGAAGAAAAGCATCATTAGTGGAGTGTGCGTAAATTTTAAAGTAGACATACCTGCGAACTGCTTTCTGAGTTCATTAAGTATAAAAATTAACAATCAAGTAAAGTATGTAAGTATGGTGTTTGGTGTAGAAGATGACTTGAAAAAAGGGGTGAAGTTGTTGTCAGATACGCATTCGCTCCAGTTTTTTTGAGTCAGCTTGCTAGAATGCTTGGACCTCTGGGGTGTCACGGTTTCAGACCAGCTCTTCTCCGGTGAGCACGCACGTTTGAGGCTGTGGACTGCTAGGATTTTTCCTGTTTGTTCCACTTTAAATGAATCGGTTAGAATGTCGTTAAAAATGTTAGATTCTGTGCAGCACATGTCAGCCCTTAAACTGGATGGCTTCAAGCTCGTGTCTGTTGAAGAAATGCTCACCTACAAAGATGTAGAAGACATGTTGAAGTTTAGGAAGCAAATTTATGATGAAATCTGTCTGCAAGAACCAAAAGAGAAGTCTGGTTTGTAGAAGGAATGGTACTTGAACAAATTTCCCGTTTCCGTTTGTGGATGGTTGATTACTTCCCAGCTTGTAGAAATCACAAGGGAAAATTACACAGATCTTTTCTCTGATTTCATTGAAGTAGAAATAATGAAATTTCATTAACGTTGTTGTTGTAGCATAACATAAATAATGCAGCAAATACAGATAAACTATTCTTTTGATGAAAGAAGTAATGAAATATTTCAGATCTCTGAAAACACTAATTGGTATGCAGGTTATTATGTTTTTTCGTCTTTGAGAACAAATTAATTAGAAATGTGACTGAAAACTGCTTTAAAAGTTTTTCAGAGTAGAACATTAGCTCCAGCAAAATGGAATGATATAGCAATAACTTATGTTTCTCTCTTTTCATGCTGCCTTCTTACAGTACTGTTTCAAATAGGTAGACATAAATTTATTAAAAGTACTTTGTAAATCAAGACATTCTGTCTTAACACATCAATCATTTTCTTTCCCTGTTTTTTGTTTTCATTTTGTGATGTTTTTGTACTTTATTGCTTTTCATCAAAGAGATTTGCTTGAGAGATTGTTCTTTGCCTTGTGACTAATAATATTGGGGTGAAAACGTGGCATCAAGACATACTGTTTATTTGGTTTTTTACTGTTACTCGTTTGGAAGCTGGCAGTTTGATTGGGCAGCTACCAACTTCTTGTTATCCACAGATTTACTGATGTGTGCCACATGAAAACCTACGTTTCGTATTTCTCTGAACTGAGCTGTCGGGGTCCTTGGGGGGATGCTTAATCCTCGTGCCGACCAGTGGAGCAGACAACAGAGAGGTCGACTGTTGTGAGTGGGAGCACGATGCGCAGCTTCCGAGCAGCACACGATAGCTAGTCTCTCTTCCCCTTCTCCACCCCTTACGGATGGAGGTGTCCCTTTGCTGCTAGTGCAGGTGCCAAAGGTCCAGCTCCAAATAGAGAAGATGCTTTCTGTACTCTGTTCTGGCCTGATGGAAAAGCAGAGTGCCGTTTCTGTGTGTACAACTTTAAATGTACTTTTCTCTGTTCCCTCTTCCCCACCCTCCTTTTTTAAAAACGCAGGCGGTGTCACAGCAGGTCATGCCGGTGCTCCGTCTAGCCCTGTCCGCAAGCCTGTCCAATTCTGTGCCCCTCTGTTTTCAGCAGCTCGTTATGTGAACAATCAGTATATACCTCAGTACTGCAAGGTCAAAAAAGCTCGATCACATGAAGTTTATATTCAGACACCTCAAATCATTTATTTTTAATTTTGCTTCTACAGTGACTGCATTTTTAGTTTTTCCATTTCTTGCTATTTTTAAGAATGCACTGTGTATCATGTCGATGTAATTTGACGGCAAACACAGTCTGCATCTTTTTCTCTTGCATTTAGCTATGGGTTTTCATGTTTTATTTAATGTTTCATTATAATAGTGTCTATCTCCCTACTGAATCAATTCCCTAATGGCATCTTTCTTATGCCACCTATGAGGTAGCAGTGTAATAAATACCTCCTGAATATTACCCAGGCTGGTTTAGCCTTCGCCAGGTTTCTTCCTCATCGGTAAAGAAACCTTTCAAGAGAGACAGTATTTTTCCTGAGGATCCCTTCTGAACAAGAAGAAATACAAAGGAGCTAGGCA